AGGCTGTGAGAACTGGAGCCTGATGTGGAGCTTGAACCCACAAACCATGAGATCACGACCTGAGCCGAAATCAAGAGCCAGATGGTTACCCGCCTACCTTTCTCCATAAAATTCTTCCTAGTAGCCATCACATTGTTATTGTTCGACTTAGAAACTGCGCTTTCTTAGAAACTGCACTTTCTTTTGGTTGCCCGAAAGAGCCACCTGGCATCCACGAGACCATGTCCTTCTTAGGCGCTGCTATGATCTTAGCAATCATTAGTAAATATCTACAATCATCACAATCATCAGTAAATATCTACAGTGGGAATTTATACGTGGATGCAGTATGTACTTTTGCACAAATGAATGGATACATGAATGGATGGATGAAAGGAAGAAAGAAACCACTGGATTGGGGAAATTCAATCAGTCAAGTTGCTGTGTTCGAAATGTCCCCTTAAGTCTGTTCTCCAAGTCTCCCATGTCCCTGGACACCTTGGTAGAAACACTTCCAAGGGCTGTCGGAGCCCCTTACGACCATGTAACTATCATCTTACCAATTACAGGTCAATGGATGTGATGTGTGCAATTTTTAACTCATTTGCCTCAAAGAAAACTGCTGGCCTTGGACTTCTCCACTATGTTTCACCGGCGTAAGTGATAACAAAGTCCCAAGATAGAAAAGCAAAAGAAAGGTCCTGCAGTCAAGCTGGACTGGCCAGAGTGTTATACAAGAAAAAAGCAACCTTCCATTTTATTTAAGACATTGTGTGTTGGGCTCACGATGTTGTATGAGGCCAGCCTTTACCCTATTACATTACAAGCATGGATACACGGGGAGAAGGGGGAGCCAGAAGGACTTCAATGCTTAACTGAACGGAATGAGCCAGTGATTCAGCCAGTGGAGTTATCTGGTGGCTCGATGAAGAGGCATCAAGTCGTTATGTCTCATTAACAACTTGATGAATTGATATTCACCTAATTCAAATGCTGAATTCTCTAAAGTGGTCATTTTGAAAGTGATTGAACTTTGAATTTGTTGCCACTAAATATTTAAATCAAATAAATACACACTTCCAGAAGAAAGAATGGATAGATTTTAAAGAGGTGAATAGTCATTTTTACCTTTATTTGTAAACAGGATATAATTCGCAATATGCAAGACACAGTGAGTAGAGGCTAGAAGGATGCTTTATATTCCTTGAGCCAACAAAAAAGAGCTCAGATCTGGGGTAGGGATGATCACACTATCTTTTAGATTGTTTCTTGATTTTTTCACAAGGTAAGTTAGCTCTAAAAAAGAAACTAAAGGGGCGCCTGTGTGGATCAGTCGATTAAGTGTCCAACTCTGGATTTTGGCTCAGGTCATCATCTCACAGTTCGTGCAAAAAAGCGCCACATCAGGCTCTACACTAACAGCACAGAGCCTGTTTGGGATTCTCTCGTGCATTCTCTGTTTGCCCCTCCCCCACTCTCTCTCTCAAAATAAATAAACTTAAAAAAAAAAAAATTTAAAAAATTTAAAATTTAAAAAAGGTTAACCAGTACATAATTGTGAAGCTTGAAGATGCTTAAAATCCTTAAAAACAATCAGTTAATTGTGGTTTCAATTATAAGAATCCACTCCTAATACCATTTAGAACTGATATAAGATGACTTTTACAAATTGGATGTGGATTTTAAGCAAAAACACATAGAGGTAAAATGCCAAGGTTGGGTAAAGCAGAGAGAAAAATGACATAAACCTTGATTGAGTCTCCAAATTTAGGCTGCCATGATAAAACAATGTCAATATAATCATGACCTGAGCAAGACGTTTCTTTAGGTCCCGTCTCGACATTCTATATGACGGGGGGCAAGTAATCGTCTATGGGACCACCTTCCCACTGTGTGCAGTGGGCATTGTAATAATTACTACCCACCTTTCAAGAATGCTGGCAACCAAACCATTTTTGTAAAGGGCTCAGATCCACTTGGAAGGAAATCATTACATCGCCAGCAAGTAAGATAACAGTTATTTATGACTCGTCAGACCTTTGAATCTAAATTTGAAAAACAGCTTCATCTGTTTTTCTGAATTTTCCTGGCCACTTTCATGCACATAACTAGGTTTCCCCATAGTGCCAATGTAGACATATTTATTTGCATCTATGCTGACTGTTAATGATTCCCAGATTTCAAATGCTGGCACGGCATTTACTGAGAGGCTCCTGGCATCTGAATCTACCTCGGTTTGATGATGTGGAGACAGGGCTGGTTTCTCGACCATCCCTGGATAGCATGATCTTCTCTGGTTACGATTTATTCCCTGAGAAGAAACACTAGCCATTCCAACCATCTTACAGATCCTGGTTAGACATTACAGTTTAACAATTTTTTTCCCTTATATTCAAGAGACCAAAATATGTAAGGATTCATTTTTTTTAAGGATCTTTGAGCTTGTTAAAAGGTAAAAAATACATGCGGCTTATTATTTAAGCCTATATACCTTAGTTGATTTTTAAAAGAAAATAAAATTTGAAATGAAGGTCAGGTAAGATCATTGATATTATAAAAGAAAAACAAATTAAATAACACCATGTTAATTGGGGGGTAGGAAAAATGAAGTTTATATAAAAAGATATCAATAACAAAAAGCTGGAATGAAAAAAAAAAGCTACAGAGTTGGAGCACAATCTCTTCCTCTGAGCTTCCTAGCAGTCAAGTTGAAAAGAAAAGCTACAGGACTTTGTTAATCAGCTTCCTTTGTGTCATAACAAAAGCAATCAGAAGGACAAAATTTTTCACTGTTCCTGACATTTACCCACTCATTCCTTATTTGCAATATATCATATAATACAGTACATTGTGTCCTTGATATTAATTATTAAGAAACATTTTTTTCCCTCCCCATGGACTATCTCTCTTAGTCAACACTAATGAAAAATTCCTGGAAACTTATTTTCCCCAACTTGCTCCTGACTCACTGTATTTTAAACTTGGAACAGTATCACAGAATTGGAAACAAATCACATTGCACAAATGCAAACGTGCACACTGTCAGGTCATGGGTGTTAGCACAGGCCATTATAAAGACATCAAGTCACAGGAAAAGTAATTCATGCTTACAGGTGACTCCAAAGAAAACAATGAAAACCCACTTATGACGCCCATCTTTGAGGCTGTTGGGGTAACACAATTCTCAGGTTGAATATTTCATCTCTTCAACCACATACTTAGCTTCGTTTAATCAGGTTTTTTTTTTTAATGTTTTATTTATTTCTGAGAGAGAGAGAGAGAGAGAGAGAGAGCGTGAGCAGGGGAAGGTCAGAGAGAGAAGGAGATACAGAATCGGAAACAGGCTCCAGGCTCTGAGCTAGCTGTCAGCACAGAGCCCGTCGTGGGGCTTGAACCTACGAACTGCGAGATCATGACCTGAGCCAAAGTCGGACGCTTAACCGACTGAGCCACCCAGGCGCCGCATCGTTTAATCAGTTTTTAGCTTTGCCAGAAATCTTTCCTAAGGCATGAGATGAGTTTAAACACCTGGCGCAGCTCTGCATGAGGAACATCCTGGATTGAGATCTCGCTGGGCTCAGAGAGACCAGGAGACACACTTGCTGTTGAGCTGAGTAGCTGTGGCAGAGAAGGAAGGGCCCACGAAACAGAAAATAATCTGTATGGCCTTTGGCAGGAAAAGTGTGCAGATCCCTGAAATTAACAAAGCCTTCGTTTTTAATATCAGGCCACTGAGTCTCAGGAAGGGGAAGAGCTTTGCCAAAAGTCCTGCCCTGAGATCAACCCTTTCTGTGCTGGAGCATATAAAGGGGCTGTCCTCTGCAGAGGGCAATCAGATGCTTCCCACAAAGACTTAATTTAAACAACAAAGGTGGTGACATGGGGCAAGCTGGATTTCTGACCCCCTATCAAATGTGCCAGGAGACAACTAGAAAAATAAATCCGTACCTGTGAAATACGTGCTAGAACCTCAGAATGCTCAGCGAGATGAAACACAAAAGTAATCTAAGAATCCTCACATTATAAAAGTTTAAAAACAAAACAAAACAAAACAAAACCCAAAACACGTTCAACTAAAGAGTAAGAAGCCTGTCTTACCAATTCATAAACTTAACTTGGTAATATCTGAGTGAAGGCTTTGTGCAATCAGGCCCTCGAGTAACCTGTTTTAAAAGAGACACAAATCTACTAAATCGAATGGAGCAATTATTGGCCAAAACTCAAAAAATAAAATGAAGACGTTACTGGAGAAACATCAGCCATTAAAACGACCTGCAATATGAACTTGTGTGAGATGAGCGCGGGAGAGAGACTGTGGGAATCAAGGAAATAATGGAGCATCCATAACCATTTTAAAGAGAGTGCTTTCTCGTTCCCCCTCCCAAAAGTGAGTTTGAGACAATTTAATTTGGTTTTAATTCATCAAGCTACATTAGTCTCTCTGAAAACTTCTAATTTTAAAATCAAATACTCATTTGATTTCCAACCAAGGTCAAGGGAATGAGGCAGCCTCATACTGACATCACAGGGACATGCCCCACGCCGCTCCACAGTTCTATCAAGGTGCCGTGTTGCTATGGTTGCCTGACTGTTAATTTCTGAAAGAAGGTGATTGTAAAGCCACCAGATGAACATCAACTGGGTGACACCACTTCAGCACAGAACATTGGCATGCGCCACTGTTTGCAGCAGTTAATTTTTATGAATCACCACTTTCGTGATGTGGATATGCCTTTCCAACTTTAAGTCCACCCAGTCGACAACCAAAAAAAAAAAAAAAATTCAGCTTCAACAAAGATAGGAAAGTCTGATCATATTTGAGAGAAGACTGTCACTCTGTGGACCATTTCTCAAGGGCAGTCTTTTCTTTAAACACCTCCCAGAAGATGCTATTACCTACATGCTTACATAAATAAATTCACAGACATCTGCTAAGTGCGGAGATCGGAAAAGAACCGAGCTCTCCCTAGAGGAGGTAAGTACAGCCCTAGATATAATTCCACGAATCAGATCGCATTTACCTTTTCTGGCTTCTGGAAAGCAATCTTCAGGTACAGTCACCTCAAAAGGTCACTTCTTACCCTGAAAACAAAAGAGAACATCAAAATCTGAATGTCAAGAGAAAGTAGCAACTGCCTATTTGCCAGCGATCGATGCAAAGAACACCACATCTCATGGCAAATGACTTGCCGGGCTCATCAAAACAAGTCGCAGGGCCGGTGATCCCGTGCACAGGCTGATCAGCTCCTTGAGACAAGAACAACGAGGATGAAAAAAAAAATAAAGGGAAACACTGCGAATTTTGCATATGAACTTTTCCTCATCTTGTTACCTATCAATTTATTCTCTTGTGCACTAATACGTGACTCATAGGCTTTGGTTTTTGGAAACCAGACTGCTCCCTGAACGAGTCTGTTTGGTGAAGCATCCACGCCATCTCTGATTTCATGAAAGCCCAAGCTTGGGGGGGGGGGGTTCCCCTTAGGAAGAGAGTGAGTTCTGTTGGACAAGCTGCTTTATGCCACCCTGGACCTTTCGCAACGAAGGAGGGCACCAGGATCCTCAAGTTTGGGGACGGGCGGAGGGTTAATCGGTTGGTGAAAGCCGTTCACCGTTCACACAGTGTTTTCCACTTAGCATGTATCTCCCAGATCTACTAAGTTAAATAAAAATGGATGTGTCAGATGAAATAAACAACTGAAATCGAGCTCCCTAAAACACAAAGAAAGCTGGAAGAAGGTTTTATTCCACATCTACTCCTGCCTCTGCATCTTCTCTTATGCAAAACAGTGTGTAATCCTCTAAGAAACATTACAAGCTGCCTCTTTCTGCCCATGTAACCGGGATCAACATATGGCACAAGTGAAAAGAAAAACATTTGTTTATTAATTTAGATCAAGTTACCAACAGGGCAGAGGATTCATCCCACATCAGCTGACCAAATGCTCATGTCAGGTTTCTTTTTAAGACGCTAAGATCAGATCACCATTTTACTAAAATGTTAATATCCTTTTGCTCACTCTTCAGGACAATATGTAATGAAGTGGTTTTAATTTTATACAGAATATATCCCTGCTTATCCCTCTGCTGTCGGCCCTGAATGTGGAAAGGCAAACATTATTGAGAAGAGTTAAATCTTATTTCACAAGGGCTAAGATTTGAAAGTGGCACTTTGGTGAGCACTATCTTTGAGGAATTGATATGAGGCCAATTTATGACATTTCCACAAGCAAGTATATGCAGATTCTTGCCATAAAGACTGGAAAAAAATGCAGGCTCTGAGTGAAATCATAATTTTCATGTTTACTGTAAGAGGAAATTGGAGGTTTTCACCAAAAATGTTCACCACTTGGGTGGGGGAAAACCCTAGCCGTGGGACTTAAAATTACTATTTTGCAACCTGCCCCAAACCTTTTTGTTTTCACACAAAACAATTCAAATTGAAAATGAAAATCGTGAGACACACGGCTGATGTGTGACTCCAGGATTAGTTTCTCCACTGGCCAGAATGGTGACGAGGCCTCTGGTGGTAAGAAACCAGGGAGCGGTGATGTGGGGGTCCTCGAGGTAATGTGGAGATTGGCGAAGCGGCCCCCGGACTCCCAAGTGAGAAGAGCTCATTAGATACAAGAAACAGTAATGATCCTACACCCCAGAAATCTCCATCCCATCGTTCAGGCCATCTTAAATGGAAACTAAGTGAACTGGCAGGTTCTACTCAACGCAAGGCAAGAACAGCCATTCTCCCTCCTTTTTCCTTGAAACGCTCCCCCTTGCACGCTCTCTAAACTAATTTTCATGTTAATCTACTGAGTTGCATCTATTTTTTGCGTGTTTGGCAGTCAGATCTATATAGTATTAGACTTTGCAATGCAGATGAGATTGCTATCATATAGGCCTGGCAAACAACTGGACCTTATTAAAATTTAATTTAAAAAAAAACATACTGCAAAAATGCCTACTTTGAATACAGTTAGCTAGGGCCTTGCATTCCAACCTGTAGGAGGATTTCAGGTAAAGATGAGGTTTGTTTCTCCACGCACGTGTCTACACAGTACAGTGTGTAAGTGAACAGAGAGCAACATGATAAGCTGATTTACCTTCCCAGGTCTTACAAGTGTAATTTTCCCCTAGGGAAACAAAATTATACAACTGACCCTCCAACTTACAATTACTAAAGCAATATGGGATCAGGTACGTTTAATTTTTACTTATACAAAAAAAAAAAAAAAAAAAAAAAACCACATTGACAGTGTGATACAAACCACGGTTTCCTCCATTGAGGTTCCATACATTTTAACGTATAATCCACACTTGACCACTCATTTATTTATTTCTGTTGATTTTAGTTTTATGTACACATTAGCCAAGGAATCGAAAAGGTATTTTTCTAGCATTGCAGAGAAAAGATTAATAGTTCAACAGCTGTTTGCCATCATGCTAAATTAAATGAAATGTGTCAATATTATAGACAAGAAAATTAGGGCGTAGTGCTGGGGCCTGAATCTGCATCACTACAAGCCTAGGAGAATCAGAAATCACCAACTAGAACAGTCTGCATTTCATTTTCCCCAAGTGTAAAACTGCCATTTCCAGAACTGTCTGCTTTTTTATATTTTAAACAATCGCTTTTACTTATCAAATATATCCACTGTTTATCTGAATGCTTACTCACAGCACAAGCATCAAAACTAAAATTAGGTAAAGCTTTTGTTTGTTTTTAAGATAACAGAAACATATTCCCCTCCTGCCCACTTGTCTTCTTTTAAAATGCTGTTACCATCTGAAATGCATTTTCTTTTTCTCTCTTTCTGAAGTTTCCTATTGGTTTTAGGGTTTAAAGGTGAGCCAGGAATACGGTAAATAGAAATGACTTGTTTTCCTTTATGTCATTCTCTGTACAGTTCGGACCCTGTGACTGCTGCAGCTATTCCTGGTGTGGCATTCTCACTGCTGTTTGCTATCGTGCTGTGTATCTGAATCAATGCGTTGACCATAAAGACCTTGAGCAAGACACCCATCTTCCGCAGCAGCCCACTCGTTAGAAAACCCAAGGTACCCTCCTCTTCCTCCACCTTCCCAACCTCCCGTCCCCCACCCCTTAAGAGTTTTATTCTGTAGCCCTCTTAGGTCACCACAATGCTTCAATGTCATACTTTGGATGGGTGTCTTTTGCCCCTAATTTAATCTGTGTAATAAATAATACGTAAGGCCAACTGGCAGGGCCCTGCTGGAACCAAGCTAGTGCAGGTAAACATGGAGGTTTGACTTCATTCCAGAAGAATGAAAGTGAACGACATATTCTCTACTCGTCCCACTATGAGTCTCCCCCGCCCTTTCTTTCATGGCAGCTGAAGAAAATGATTTGCATCAGGATTGCTGCATTATGTTTCATTTTATACAATTATACAAAAGGACTGTGAAGGATGACCAAAGGTTTTCATCTTAACCTTCAGTCCCTCAAATGATGCCTTAAATCCACTGTGCACCAGTATCACCGGGGATGCGACGCTGTCACAGCCAGCTCCTGGCCCACGATGAAGGCAGATGTTTTCTCTTACAGTCCAGGAACATGGTTCAAACTTACAGTACCCCAAATACTCCAGTCAAAGGGCATAATACTTCACCTAAGAAAACAGAGGTCTAAATGGGCTAATTTCGCAGACTGCTACCTCTAGCTAGTGACTCCTAACATGTGGATTTTAATGTCTTTTCAAAGATTTCTTAGAAAAACAGGAGCATATCAACACAAATTTGCCTCGCTGAAAAATGATAGTACAAGGGTCACTTCATTTTCCGCACTCGGGACAAGAAAATCCACTCAGAAATCAACCGCAAAGTTGTTTTTTTTTTTTTTTTCCTCTGCTCTAATAACTTCAATATTGAGTCAGGCTTCCAGAAAGAGAAAGCAAAGAGGGCAGGAAGGAAGAGAGGAAAGAAATAAGAAAAGAAAAAGGAGAAGAAAGAGGGAGAGAAGAAGCCAGGAGCGCAAAAGAGGTGGGGAAAGGAAGAAGGAAGGAAGGACATCGGAAAGGCAAGGAAGAGAAAGTTAAAGCTGGACAGGCCGGGGCTCTGGGGCCCACCCAGGCTTGTTGGGTTGACCACTGCTATGTTTCTTGTACTTCGGTCTACCCAAGAAGTCAACCATCATTCCCCCGACGTCCCCTCCTACGGCTGCACAGAGCACTTTGCTTCCTTTCTCCTCTCCCTCTGTGACTCTCACCAGATCATGGAACCTAACTTTGGGGTCCATTCTAGTAAGAAAACCCTACAGGAGCTGGTAGGTTAAGCCACTTGGGAAAGGCAACCCCAGCCAAGGCGCAACGGGAGAGGTTACCGGAGGCCGGAGGCCGGGAGCCCAGCCCGCCCAGCGACAGCTCCACTGGTCCCTCTCACTGGGAGAGACTACTCTCTCTTACCTTACAGAAAAGTAAAACCCTGGCCATGGTCATGTGAAAATATTTTATAGGTATCCTTTAACAGCCTTTAAATGTTGAAACCCAAAAACAATATTTGCTGTTTTCTCTTTGAAGCTCTAACAAAGCCTTTGTTTTAGATTTACCTTTAGTGGGCAATAAGAGTTAATAATCAAATCCATCCCAACCCCCACAAATGTTAAACAAAAAGATAAAAGAAATGCAAATAGCTATTGTCATGGAAAGTTAAAGTACCTGTCTGTATTTTTAAGTGAAAACTATTATCTCTATCAATCAAAATTTAAGAATACAATAGCGCTAATCACAGAAGGTGCTCTCACAGAGTTACTTTTCCACGTTAAAAAAAAAGTATTTTTCCCCTTAAAAACCGAGTATAAAAGTCATATACTTACAATTAGATAGGGTATTTGTAATTTTATTATTAAAAACCTTCAGCAGCCTCACTGTTAATAAATGCTTCGAAGTCTCTAGACTAATTTGTACCCAAGAAGACCCAACTCCCTACATATTTTAATAAGGTTGATGAAATTTTATTTAAATTCTCACAGTTTCCAACCTGCGAGGGAACAGCACACTCTTCTGTTGAAAAGAGTTACTCAAGCAGAGGCAACAGTTAACCGGTAATGAAAACTCCTTCTTTTAGAC